CAGAAAAAATAACTAATTAAATTAAATACGCACATAAAAATTGAAATTAAGCGTTGAAATCTATCGGCAAATACTTAGCTAATGGGTGATTGAAAACGTATGCTTTGTGATCTTCAGCTTTCTCTGTTTGGAAAGCAATGGAAACTAAAGGATCGAATTACGAAAAAAGATACAACTGCAAGATTTTTGGTGCCGAATTTTTGTTTCAAATTCTCAGTAGAATTAAACGCATCAGTATTTCATGAATAGGTTGTTTAGAAGAAGGCAAGCAGAGACTTGATTTGAAGCACTAGAATCCTCCATTTAACACACACAATTTTTTGCACTTAATATTAAAAAAACGCATATATTTTTTTTCTCACACCATAAACTCAAATAAAATGTTAAAATATGAAGTCAACAACCTGAAACCATAAATCGAGAGAGGCAGAATTTATTGGTCTCCATGACTCTTTTCGCAACTAACCCCCCCCCCCTTGTCTCTAATTTGAACCAAGTACTCCTTATTAATCAGATTCGCTGTGGGTAATTAGAACTCGTGAATTCATTAATTTTTCTAAAGACTTCAAAGCTACTATCATAGGAAAACGGAATGCTCGACATTATTCCTTTAAATAACCGACATTCTAAATACAGCTGCATCAAAAATATCAAGCCTTTAAAGAGAACAAAATTTTAGCGAATTAATAATTTAGCAAAGTTAACAAACATTGGAGAGCTTTAGAATATTAATTGCAACAAGTAAATTTGCGAAATTAATTCAAGCTTGACCTATTGCTCAGTCCAAAAAGCTACACGACCCTCTCCTCCCCTCCCCCCCCCCTCCCCTTCCACCCCCAGATTATTGCCGTAAAAATCAATGGGATAATACTCGAACTCAAAATTGAACTTAATTAAGTCAGATGGTTAGCATATTTTGAATGTAATCAAAGCGGAAAAAAGAACTAACTATTTGAGCAAACGAGGATATTGATTTTGATGAAGTGGGTAATTTGGACATGATCTTAGTCGGGAGATTGGGTTACCGATTAGGCGAATAAGCACGAGAACAGTGGCATTTTTCCTTGCAAATAGAAATTCTTTACTGAAATGAAATGAGCACAAATAGAGGTGAAGTTAAGCCAATACTAACTATAATTTAAATGAAATGATCATATAAACAATTGTCCTTAATCTGAAGAAAACCCTCTCGAGTAAGGGCCTCCATTTGAACATGGACACTAATTGAGCGATATCCATCACCTGCTGATGCAGCTCAACTTGAAACTAATAACTTCAGCTATGTGGAAAAAGAGCAGGCGAAGAGCTTTTATTTTACTTTTAACCCCCTCCCCATTTTTAAACTGATTTATCGCATTCCCAATTCTACCTAACTCGAATTGTGCTTAATATCCAATGTGAATATCTAAACAACTGAATGATATTCTCGAGAAACAGTAACGACAACAAAGACATTAAAATAAAAAAAAACACAGACAAAGCAAGACTAAATTAAAAACTACTTAGCAAAAAAGCACCCATCGTTGAAGAGTTTACATCTTTCAGTACATCATATTCAAAAGCTGTCAAACCCTGCTCTCATTCTTCCCCCAGTTTCTTGGTGTTTTGAAAGGTCGGAGTAAAACAAGGGCTGGCATGATGAACGTAAATGTTGCACGCAGGGACAATTAATGACTGGATAGTACAAATCTAGTTATGGAAGCATAGATAGCTGCAGTCACATCTCGATATCAGACGTCAGTGTGATGCAAATTATTCGCCAACAAACAAAACACATTTCTCTTCTTTATCGCCTGATATGTCATCGTAAATAACCTTTTATGGCTTAAGTCCCCCCCCCTTGTTAATTATTCATCGTAATCAGATAAATTAGCATAGATTTGTTTTAATTGAACACCCGCAGATGCAAAGGGCGCGAAATTCAACTACTACTTAGTCCTCAAACTCGACATCCATATATATTGTAGAAACCGGTTTTGTTACAAGTAGCAATGCCAGTAAATACCCACCTTTAAGATTACATCACCACAACCGTAGATTAAATATCATTTAGGAGTGGACAAATTGGTTTAAATTAGCGGATTTTCGTATTCAACTGGGTGCGCTTTGCTTGTGCCAAACGCACAATAAATCCCACAAGTGATACCGAATCATGCAGGAATAGAGTGAAGTTTATGATGTGTGCATATTAATTCCTATAAATAAGCATTATAGAAGCAGGTACTACTTTAGTCAGAACTCAAATTGTCCATGAATAGCATTGTCAATACTTTTCTTGATAAACACCGCGTGATAAGCAAATGATAGTCTCGTAGTGCTTAGTGCTACTAAAGCGTCTCCCTCTTATTATGAAAGAACATGATGGATATCTGTGCAGATTCCTATAATTTTGATCGTATTCCATCACTTCCACAGTACTCATCTTACCTTTTCTCTGGCTTTACAATGGCCAAACTATCATGACCCCACTGTATGTCATATTCCACCACTTTCACAGTACTCACTTTACCTTTTTCTCTACTTTTGTGTCTGTCTGGTTCTTTTGCCCCACTGTATGTCATATTCCACCACTTTCACAGTACTCACTTTACCTTTTTCTCTACTTTTGTGTCGGACTGTCCCTTAAACATCTGTGAATCGCTTTTCTGTTCCCAACCCCTCGACTTTCTGCTACTTTGACGAACCTTCCATCTGTGAAGCCCGAAGTCAGTTAAATGGCTAATGATAGCTATCAAAACGCTTGTCATTTGAAATAAATAAAAACTCCTAACATACAACTTTTGAACAATGTTCTAAATTTATTAAAAAAAGTTTGAATGTTAATATTTCCGAAATAAAGAATGCAGATTACAAATACCCGAAGGAGAATATAATTGCAAAAAAATTAAACGTTTGCTCCTAAAATAAATTTAGAGTTAAGTCGAAGCGGCAAATTATTGCAGACAACAAAAATATGGCAAACAACAAAAATACTGAAAATTGCATTAGCAATTTCGATCCCTAGAAATATATCCATGCATTCGCAATGTTAAAAAATATCAAAAAAAGGCTTAATAATGAATTGAACAAAAATTAAAATGATCGGCAAAATTTCACATCCGCGCTGAATCGAGATAACAAATGTGAAATTTGAGTAATTCGGAGTTGAAAATCCGAGATTACTTTTAATTCAAGTGCTAAATGATTCCCTTTTTAATTTAAGATGATTGAATAGTCCTATGAATGCTCGACCTGTTAACTCCAAAATCCACCTATTGACTGGTGAATCGCGTCGGATAATGCCAGGGAGGCTCCGTGTTGGCGTACATCAATTCGAAAAAAAAGTAATTTTTTTTCAATCATAAAACCATTTGAGTTAAGTGCAGATTATTTAACATCCTCCTTCAATTCCTTAGACACACACACACACACACACACACACTTGTAGTCTTTTCATTAATCATTGTCTTTAGAAATGCTGAAAATAACAGATAAAGAGCGCGTTATTCATGGAAATTTGAAGGTCAATGACAATAGATAAAAAATAAAGCGGAAAGTATATAGTCTCTGCTTAATTTTATGTGAAAATTTGGTTCCTGCAGACAACATTTTTAGCCATGCGTGGTGGTCGAAAGCTGGGTTAAATTTCCTATTCCTGCATAATCTTTTAAAAGGGGTGTGTGATAGACTTACCTCCACGTGGCACATCCTGGAGAACGTATATTCACACGGCAAAAAAGTCTATAAATCAGGAGTTGACTTCTAACTTCAAACTACCATCATCCCACTGTATGTCACATTCGACTACTTCCACAGTACTCACCCTATCTTTTATCTGCCTTTGTGTCTGTCTATCTCTTTTACATCCTTGAATCACTTAACTGTTCCCCCTCTCGAATTTTTCCCACTTTGATGTTCCTCCCCTTTGTGAAGCCCGAAGTCAGCTAAAGGCCCAATGATAGCTATCATAAACCCTGCCATTTGAAATAAATAAATAAATGATCTTTTAAAATAACGCAGAGTCGAGCACCGATTCTTGAAAAATATTGAAAAAAAAAATTTTCAGACGTAGAATCCAAAACGAGATTTTAATCAGATGCCCATTTCCATTACCACTTCTACTAATTTCATTTTAAATATTAATTAATGGTACTACTCCTATTGAAGCAACTTTCTTATACTCAAAAGACATGATTTAAGCTATTCGCCATATTTTTCAACGATTGTACAAGATTTAATAGATAGACCAAAATTGGCAACAGCTTGTATGCTATCATAGATATATCACTCACAATCTTCAAATAAGCAGGAGAGTTTGCAACCCTAGGACAGACAATATGATATGAAAACACAAAATAGGAGAGTAGTGGTGAGCCGAACATACAAAAGTACTAAGAGTGACCTTGGCAGATAGAAGAGCTAGATATCTGTGACAAACAAATGACCAGCTTATAAGACAGGCGGGCTGTAGACAGCTAATCTTCAAGCGTAATTCCACATCCTGCATCTGAGTCAATTTCTGGATGGTTCGAGTTCATTCATGAAATTCAAATTGATTTCATAAATGTAAGTTACTTTAAAGTTGAATAATTTAAATATTGAGTAAATGTTTAAAAAAAAACACCACCAGTTTCAATAGAAGTGTTAGCTGATTTCTATTTTAAATCTGTGCCCAGGTTATTTGATAAAAAATGGAACAGCCAAAGAAGGCATTGAGATTGGACTCTTTCTTCTACTTTTCAGTGAGTACTTAGAGGATTTCAAACCTTCTAAGTTCAATTTTTTCTTCATGTCGACCGGAATTTATCACCGCAATCGGGCCACCTACATTGCTGAACTTGGTACCAAATAAAATCTATCTCAACGGAAGTGCATGTTGGGCACCTGGGAGGAATCCTTTAATGCAAATTGATCGTGGATTGAATAACTTATTAAAAATAGGTTGCGTTGAAATTTCGGGGGACTTTGGGAGGAGTGGGTTAGAAATGAATAAAGGAAAATATTGATTTTTTCAAGTCATCTTACGTATTCATAAGCCAGGGCGACAGACAATGACCAGGAATCTCAACCAGACCACTGAGAGCAAAACTGAGAAATCGGTTAGTGAAGGCTTCGCCAGATGCTATGGTTGAACCGTAGTAGGCAGCAGCATTACTGAACCTACAAAGATTGAAGTGGTTTGAATTTCGAACCTACTGAAATGTTCCCCGACGAAACACACCAGACCAATATAAATGGATGGTGAAATTTTCAGCCCATGTTGTCTAACCGAGGGGACAATACCCATTCCTAATAGAATACGCAAGGTGAAGAACCCTGAAATCTGTTATGCTATCTATTGCACTGTCCACGGATTCAGTTAACGATAGTTATAAATAAACTATGATTAAAAACTTCAGTGATCTACCCTACAATAGTGTTTAAAATTAGATTGACGGCAGGAGCAGTAAAATGTACCACAAATCAATACTTTATAATTTACTCACTTAGACAATACAGAACATTTCAAACCAATTCATTCCAGTTCCAACCTACTCAATACATGACAACCTTAGTCCTTAGCCCTAAAAAATGAGTTTTCATGGATAGATCTTCACACATTTGAGAATATATACCAAGTATGTGTAGAAATAGGAAATTGTCGGATAGTAGTATGTAGTGTGGCAAAAGTTTCGTAGAAGTAGTTGGACATGCGGTGAGTGAAAATGACGTCAAAAGATGGAGAAGAGGAGAATGTAGTAAGAGCTAAGACACTTTAGTCGAATAATCATCAAGGCATAAGAAGGATTTTCATGTGTGGTTTGACACTGCTAGCCCGGGCACCGAAGGTATCAAATCCGTCATCGCTAACTTACCGGACGGATGCGATAATCGCTGCACCACCAACGCGTGCACATCGACAGGTATTAAATATGTTAAATCTATTGTGTTCTTTTACAGCATCTAAGTCACTATAGAATTACGATCACTGTTTAAGCTGTAGTATTTGCAGGTTACGCTCTACGACCAAGAACAATTTTTCCGAAATGAAAAGTGATACTTAATTAGCAGCATCGCAACTCCCAACTAAAAATGCTGATATTTAAATGCCACATTATGCATTATGTTTCTATTAATAAAAAAGGAAAAGAGAGATATCTCTACGCCACTGGTCTATCTTTCAATTATAAAAGAACTTAAATTCCTGCTTTATTCAAATCAGCTTCTGATGAAATGCAAAATTATTACTTTTATTATAAAGACAGATGGATTCTAAAGTGGGTTTTAAATTAGCAATGCCTAACAGAGGTGGCGATTTTCGAGCGTAAATGTTAATGTTCATGTTGTATTCTGCCACCGTTCGAACTTCGGAAAGAATGAGTCACGCCTAGTATAAGACACAAGCGTGGAAAATGCTATAAACTACCGAATTCCTCTTGCTTCCCTCCGCCTCCATCAACCCCCCCCCCCCCCCCCCACCCCAACACCCCAATCCAAACAATTATAGCCGAAACGTCCGGGCAAAGCGCCTTTGGTTAGGCAATTAGCTCACTTTGAACTTAATCTTGCCTGTGGAATTGAAATAAAAAAGAATTGCTTTAAAATCGAGAGCCATAAACCAGCAAATGCTCCAACATATGATGCGTAGATAGATCTCCCTAGAACATTAATACTCATCCTGATGACTTTCGGGAAGAAGGACTATTTACAAAGTTTGAGCGGAGGCAAGAAAGGCTTTGTGAAAGAAGAAAATGCGAAAGGCGAAAATTAGACAATAATCGATATTTATGTTTATTTTGAGAACAAGAGAGGATTTGAATTATCTACCCTTGGTTTACGAAATCGAACAACTATTTTCAAGAAAAACACTTTCCTATCCTTAATCTTTAGTGTAACTAAGTTAACAAGCACGTTTAGTTTTCCGAACGGTTGTCCATCTAGGATACCATATTATTGTTTTCATTTGCAGAACAATTAAATAAGAGTCACTGACTACTTAATTGTAGTTATTGAAACTTACCAACAAATGCTGAAAATTAGTGTCCATTTTTTCAGTAAAGGGTGAGTACACAGAGTACAAAAGCTTTCTTTGGCACTAACATTGGAGTCAACACGAGTTCTAGCATTGGGACTTCTATCAATTAGAGCGTCTGTATCTGAAGCCTCTGCAACTAGAGAGGGTCGAAAATCATTGTCATGCAGAGAATCGAGGAAATTGGCAAGATTTGAGGAATTAATGTGACTAGGAGATCCAGTAGAAAGAGAAAGATTTCCGTTGGTACGAGCTATGTACTTCAGATTTTTCAGAGCAGCCTAAATCGAAAGATAGAATAATCACTTACAAATATAATCGGTACTCGATTTAAATCAGTAGTATAGTCGAATTGCACTAAATGATAATGGGATCTAGATTTTATCTATCGTTATGAAGAAATAAAGTTCTACTTATCTAAAATTTCAACCAAAATATACCCATTTCGCTAAGATAATTCACAAAATATTGTTGGAAATTGTTTGAGACAATAGGTAAACAACTCCCATGAATAGGAACGAAAATGAATACCCCTAACCTCTCACCACCACCATATACGGCATTCTCTGATAGTTGTGTCATATTTATATTCAAAATTAATTAAGAACTGAAATAGCTAGTCATCTTAATTAAACAGATGAGCGTTGAGATGAATACACTCAAGAATATGAAGACAAATTTATGACATGAAGCGAGGAATTCAAACCACTATGTAACATGTGTACAATCGCTTCCCCAAATATTCCATTTTAATGAATGAAAACATTTTAAATTTATATAATTGATTGATTATTGATTCATTGATTATTAACTAGATTTATCATTTGATAATTAATTTAAAACATTGTCGGGAAGAAATTGTTTCACTCACTATTAGCACTGGAAAAAATGTGTATATATATATATAACGAGTAAACTAACTTCACAGCGCATATTATGAGCACTGTATAGTACTATTATATAGGATGTGCGATAGATTCACCTCCAAGTGGTACACCCTGGGCAACGTATACTCATACTGCAAAATAGTCTATAAACTGGCAATTGACTTCTGACTTTAAACTACCATCACCTCACTGTATGTCATATTCGACCCACTTCCGCAGTACTCATCTTACCTTAGTGTCTGTCTCTTTTACGTCAGTGAATCACCTCTCTATTTCCCCTCTCGTATTTCTTGTGACTTTGATTTTCCTTCCCTGTATAAGGCCAGAAGTCAACTTAGGGGCTAATTAAAACTATCATAAAACCTGTAATTTAAAAAATAGTGCCATTATATAGGGGTTAACATTAAGAATAGACAACACTTCGGCTAATTAAGATAAAACGACAAACAGAAATAGAATCACAGCAACGCACAACACCCTTGAGTGACACTCTTTTTTATTAAAAATTTTAATGAAGTAATCACACATACATTGGTTCTGATTTATTTGTGTCAATTGAAAGTCTTTGTCTCGCTAAACTAAGTATTGAAAAGAACGTTCAAGCCTTATTTTTTTATTGTTATCCACTTTTATATCCCATGAATTATATGATTATGCAAGGCTTAAGTCATTTGATACTGTTCCTATAGTCTCTATATCTTTTAGGTCTTCATTACTGTTGCTATATGCCTTAAATTTAAAGCGTTGTTAGATGAGATAGGGCAGTTAAAGATGCCTAACTTACCAACCGCTTAGTAGGTTGAGTAAGAAGCCACCTCGTCGATTCTACTTGGAAAGGAAGCATGATAATAAATGCAATTGGACCAGTAATGGCAAAAACTGCAGCGAGATTCCTCCAATTTGGTACACAGTAAGCCAACAAAGCAGTTAATGCTATGCCAAAGGCATAAAATACCTACAAATACGAAAGAATGCATTAATATATCTTTACGAATGTACAGAGATCAACAAACAAGGTATTCGAACCTGCTCAAGGATTCCGCACAAAGCTCTATACTTCTCCCCAACGGTTTCCAAAATTAGGGTATATGATGTAAGTCCACAGCCTTGACAACAGACGCCGAG